GAACCGTAAAAAAATACGGACGTTCTTGGACCACGAGGTATGTAATCATGTTTGGTGTAAGTGATTCGTAGAGCACTATGAAGTATTAACTGTGATTCAAACTTTTACAACAAGGGTTTGAAATATTTTAATAATATAATTTTTGATAATATTACGATGGCTGACTTCAAAGCACGTCACAAAATTACAAATTGCAAACCCGAATTTATCACTGTGTGTTGTTAGAAAGGTAGACTTTGTATCAAGTAACTCAGGACAGAGTCCTTCTGTAACGTTGTTTTCTTTCTTTCTTTTTTACTTTTTATTCCTTCTTCTTCTTTAACTAGTAGGTGATCGTTCTATGTACAATTCTGTGCCAGATTAAACATTTGCTTCATTTTCTAGCCACGGACCATGCAGCTTTCAAATCATATACCTTTGTTTTAAACTTTTGGGAGTATAGCTGGAAACATTAGAAAATTCAATTACATTTTTTGCATAATAAAAAAATGGGTACGATTTTTAATATATATCGATGCAGAAGGTAAATGAGACATCTAAAAACTTAAATTTTGGGGAACCGATTCTGAGTGGAACCGTTTATTTCGCAAATCTGTAAGTCAATGTAAGTTAAAATATTTTTTTGTATGAGAGCAAAAATGTCAACAATGCTGATTACAATATTTTCTTCAACAACGAGTTGTGGGGGTTGGGATTCCCGAGTTGAACATGCGCCTAAACTAGCCCTCTCTCTCTGTCTGTTTCTCTGTCTCTCTCTCTCTCTCTCTGCCTCTCTGTCTCCCTCTCTCTGCAGAGCGAGTGTCGTCGTTTCTTTTTTTTTTAAGGGGCGCCCTCCACTCTCTGATAAGATGTTTTAATGAACGTAACGGAAATAGCGATTTGTGTTGTTGTTACTACTGCTGTGGCGGAAGTCGACTTGGGATGATTAGGAATGCCGAGAACATTAGAGCAATTTGTTGGTCGGGTGTAAAATGTAAAACTTACACGCAGATGAAAAAGTTGTGGCAACTGTGCTGTTGTGAAAGAATATCCCACTATGAGTCAAATTCTCAAAGAACTCGAAGAACTTTTTGGAGTAAAATTAGTGGAAGTGACAAAAATCTCGTTTGGACACATACCTACAAATGAACAAAAATTAATTCTGATTATAAATATTATTGAGACATTCTTTGACTGTCATAATGTGTTGTTTCCTATTCGAAAACATTATTATTAACCAAAGAAGTTTACTTTCTTATGCTATCACTCTTATTTTTAATGTGATTATGCATATATAACCCTGTATATATTTTTAGACAAATTTCTCGTTAGAAATTGAGAGAATCTCATAAATGCTTTCTTTATTACACGACGTTACAGGAACCTGTCTTGTTCCTATCATCAAGTACTGTGTATTATAAATTTTCGTTTTCTTTAAATTCGCCTTTCTATAAATTCATTATGTCTTTTTTACAGCCTATTTAATTTACACAGGACATCTTAATTTGTTATTTTTGTATAAAATAATGTAAATAATTAGCAAAAATTGAGACCAACTTGTTGTGTGATTGTAAAAATATAGATGACACCTACAATTAACTGAGTTTTGGTATTTGTTCCGTAAAACCTGTGTAAGAACTTGTCGAAACTTCCAGGTCATTGCAAAGAGTGAGAAGTGCAAGACATTGCGTAATTGAGAATAACCATATTTGGGGCAAAATTTTGTAGAAACACCCACAATAACGAGATGTTCTCTTGGGAAGCTGGTTGCAATATTTTATATTTGATGTCAAATTGATGTCAAATTTTTCGGTAGTGATTTTAATGGGTTATATTAACAATATTTTAATTGATACTTAGGAATACAGAGAAATCCAAGCGGCGGAGGCTAGCTGGTTTAAATAATAATTAAGAATAACAAAAATAATACAAAAGCAATATAATAAATGATACTGTATGATCTACATAAAATTCCACAATGTATCAAACATATCCTGCTAGACATTATTTTAGTATAAAATATTACCTACGACGTGCTTCACTACGGAAAAGATAAAATTTAAAAAAATAAAAAAATGCTCGCAACAAAAGGAACACACAAGTGTGCGTCTCACTACATTCATCAGTTGACACATGATACTCGCGGCAGTCGTCCCACGTTATTCGTCATAAGTACATGCCCGATGCACAAACATTCCAACAGAAAATACTCTTCACTGCCACACGTCTCGCATATCAATGTACACTAATGGAACGTTACACTACAATACCAGTGCCACAAGTAATATCATGCAATGCTGAACAATTACGGACACCCTATTCCGCAAATGAATAAATAAATAAAATTACGATGTAAATATATTCTAAAAGTAAATTATTGATTACAATTTAGTCTATTATTTAAAGTTTTGACACTCGCAGGGAAAATCTCAAGCTCTGCTGCAGGTAATTTATTCCAAAATTATATTATTATATTTTCAAATGAAAATTTATCTGAATATTTTCTGTGTTTTCCACATAATGCCATAAAATCTTACTCATTCGTCTCATTAGACGAACCAGGGCTCTGGACACCCGTCTGGTCTTATAAATATTATCTCGCGAATATTCGAAAGGCATACTTCGAGACGAACGTATGGTAATTCCGTCACAAAACAGAGGCACTTATTTCTTCCGACATGTCAATAAAATTTGAGGATTGTCGACGATAACGCTTAACGCATTACTGCCCCAAAGTCATTCATATTTAACTTCTCATAACCAAATTAATATTCCTTCTTCCAATAACACATGTTTTATGGGTAAAAACCAGAACGGTATTAGCAACATTTGATAAATACTATGAAAAATATGTTTATAGTAGGTTATATTTCAGTGCCAATGTAAATTCGTGGTTTTATAAAATATTGGAATGCTATGATTTTAAAAATGAAACAAAGTAACTTTATTTTACAGTGATATTGAATTAAATAATGTTTTCTCCGAATTTATAAAATATCACTTTTACCGTTCTGGTTTTCACCCAATGAATTTTCATGCTCGTGGATTTTGGGTATTGCCTTATTCTAATTGAATTGATGTTAAAACTGTCGGTTACTTCGTTCTTGATGTAGAACAATCTAATGAATGCGTGTTTAAAGCCGTATTCTCTAAGAATTAGATATTATAACATGTGGCATGGGGCTAGATATTATCTGCGTATTTTTCTTGGGCCCTGGTTTTACCCAATTCGAATGTTTTTTTATTGTTTTTTTTGTTTTTGACGACAGGAATGTGACACAAAATCTGTAGCGCGTTTTGCGATGCAAAATAATTTCTATTACTCGTGAGCAAACATTTCTGGTTATCAGATTTTGCCAACAACGCTCGTTTATATCATTTATTCTTAATTGAACTAATATCGGCAAAGGAATGTAGGTATTCTCGGGCTCAAGGAAACCTGCGCATGCAACACTTGACACAATATTCATAGGGTAATTGGTTCCAGTGGTCAGTATCAAATACGTGTTATTTCTCTTCCCTTCTGTTTCAATGCTTACATCATATAAAACTAATATGTGAGAAAAAAACACCTTTAAATCTCTCTGGTTATCTAAACTCACAAATTTTTGAAAAACCACAGATACCACTCCTATCCGAATTCCTGTGACAAGTCTCTAAAAAAATTATTTTCTGCTTCCTGCATCTTCCAGCACTCGCTCATTTACTCATAAGATGCACGTTCCTTAGGTCTCTCTTTGGTTCACCATAAATAAGAAAATAACTTGTCTCGTTTTCCCACAAACACCCCTCTTCTGCTCTTAAACTATAAATGCGAACTCTCAATTAGTCTGATATAATTCATGAAAAATGTTTCCTACATATCTCTTGCTCAGCTTCTGGAGGTTGAGACGCAGAACCTAACTAGTCGGCAAACAACGCTCCAGTACAAAGTGAGAATGCGTAAGATGCGTACGACACCTTTATTTTTAAGGAAAATTATACAGTGCAAGTAAGCTACTGCTGGATGAGAAGTAACTCCCCAGCCCTGGATCACACAGATTGAAGATGAAAAAAATTTCAGATGACCGAAGGTACTGATTATTGAAACACACCCTATAACCACGCTTATTTCCTAAAAGATGCGTCGTGGACCCTTAAAATCAGATTTCGTGTCCTTGTAGTCACAAGAATTTTGTAGGGATTGGTGAATTTTAGGAGGGCACGAGTTTTGGTGGACCTATATGGAGAGCAGGTGGCGGACCGGTTGGTTAAAATGCGGGGACCGACTGAATAGACAGGGTCAGGTTGGAAAATGGCGAGGGACCTATAGGGATTAAGCTGAGAACCTGCCAGGACCAGTGGGAGACAAGTAGTTTCCAAGTTTTGTTTCTTAAGAATTATTTTATAAAATGAACCTTTTTGAAGCTTCTATTACGTTTTTGTTGGATTGGAGCTTTTCAAATACCCTAATTTTTAGTGCAGGCAGTCAGATACGAGCAGTAACTTGAAATTTATGTAAAATTAAATTGAAGAAATAGAGACAGAATTAATATTCCACCATAAAATTATGGTGACTATTTGTTTTCCTGAGAAATTCAATCTTAACACTTAGCAAATATTATAATGTTTACTTTCGCACAGTATCGGGCATGTATTGCTGTGACTTTCACGTCGTTCAAAGTTACAATTCAACAAAAAGCTACTTTCACTTTTAGAATAATGATTTACTAAGTTAGAAATTTTCTCTCGGATTCAGCTAGTAGAATTTATTCGAACACATGCGGCAGCTCTGGTCGAACACTTGAAGACCAAGAGGGTGTAGCATAATAGGAATTTAGCGTTATTGCATTCTGCCGTCACAGTTCGGAATTACTTCCGTTTAGAACAAATTGTGCATAAAGTATTTTTACACGGGCCCGGGCCATGGTAATTTACGCTTTTGTACAAATTTTTGTTTGAAGCCTCCTTTTCTATTGTTTATATTACATATATATACATATGTTACATGTATTTTACATAGCTTCATTTTATATTTTAAGGTACATGACCTCGGTCAAGCATCATGTTTCAATCACCTGAACCTAAAATATTGTGAACAAAACGTCGTGGACATAATAGAGGTTGGTAATCAGAGTCGAGCGGCGACTTTACATTTTCCGCCTAAGTAATAAAGACGGTATTATTTTGTACGAAATTGATGAAATCCCAGAAAATTGCATTACTTATACTTATGTATTACTATATTTCTTTTTTGGTCCATAATTTAACTCTAAAAAAGAGAGTTTTTAAATTTTTGAATAACAGAATAAACCTTTTACCTTTAGAATAAAAAAGAATGCAGATATTTTAAAAATGTCACAATTTTCCTGCCCTGTGCTGCTCTTGTATGGTGCACCACTTGCACAAGGCTTGGCGCGGCCCTGTTTTCTCTTTTTACACTTCACACAATACAGGTAACGTGGTTGCCTCTTATAGTTTTTGCTACATTCTGCAAAAAATCTCTAATAATGTGATTTTTGACTTTAGAATCTCCAAATAATAAAGTTAAAAAGAAATTTAAAGTTAGATAATGCAGTAATTAAGTTAAATAAGCTGTCGACGTATCCTATTTACTTTAACGAAAGACGTTATGTCAAAAAAAGAGACTTCACAGATCACAGATAGAGGTGGATTAGCTGTGTGCACGTACGATTAACATATTCTTGCTCCATATTGCTTCATATTTTAGTGTTTAGAATGTATGGCTGTTGTAGCAACAAATACGCATTTTCCTATTTAGAAGCGGTTTTTAACAACACCCATAAATCTCAGAAGGAACCGTATATACCATCCAACAAAGTAGAACTTACAATCATTCGACACATATGACTGCACCATTCCATATTCGTCACTAGCCCAAAATCTTACGCACTCACACTTAGTCTTACTTGATATGGCAACAATTTGGAACACATTGACATCAGGCTAACTTTACAAACCTGCACTAAGAAGTGAAGCGTAAGATCGTACCTTGAGCGCTAGGGTTCGTCGTTCTAGTTCTCGCGTCGGAAGCAATTCATCGGATCAGCGTGAAACTAGTATAATTGAAGGGGTTGGAGAAACATAACTTACATTCCACACATAGGAAGTAAATATTTATGATTTACTGGAAAAAACAAACAATTATGATCCTAAAGCTTTACAAACCTGTTCCCACAAGTATGTTGTAAATAGAAAGCAATACGAAGTGTATACAGAAACTGAGAAGTGCTTAAACATACACGTACAAAAAACTTTGTTTTTCCTCTGGGATGCAAAAATTCCAAAAAATAGGGTTACTCCAACCCTGCCAATTCTCATTCTGGCAATAACGGCGTTGCGTCCAAAGCCTTTGCTTGTGCTGAAAATCCGCCACCATCGAATTCGAAAAAGAACTTCCCGGCCTTCAAAAATTTCAACTTCGAGTGAATTTTGCCTACACTGACACACGCGATGATTCTAAGATTTATACTTTGCTTTAAATAGAATTACTTTTGACGTACGTTCAGGTGGATGTGGTTATCCAATGGGAACTTAATGGGAAATTCATTACTACATAATATTTGGTACTAAAGTTTTCAATTAGAACACCGCGTCTCAGCTGATCGTAAGTCAAAAGTTACTCAGTTTAAGTCGAATAATAACACTATAATGTACTGTACCTACGTACTCCGCTCTACTGTACTCCACTCTATACACCTTTGTAGTTTTAGCTGAGGTCGGCGGCAAAAATATTTTGTTTTTTTGCTGTTTTCAATTACTTTCTTAATAATTTTTGATAATTCATAATATTTATAAACAATCGTATTTCGAATAATATATTTAAGAAAAAACGGAAAGCAACTCCCGATATTATACACGATATAGTACATAATACCCGAAACTGTACTAAATTAAACTTCACTCTCAGCTGGTATATCCTACACACTGTCGGACGTGATTTCATTGTCATTTTCGACCTCTGCGATGCTGTTCTTTTTTTCTTTTCAGAAAATTGACGTATAATAAATAGAATGTGTTAGTTTGGACGAGCTAAGTTTTCTTCAATAGCAGAGAGACAACTCAATCACCTTAGAAACAATCGCGCTACCCAAAATAAGTTGCTGGTTATTTTGTTAAAATCGGAAATCAAGGTCGCAAGATATATGAAACGATAAAAACTGTAAAATATCACCGCAAATCTCACAATAACTGGTAGAGGTGATTAGTACTATGGCACGCCCGATGTTAAGAATGAAGGCAACAATGATGCGAAACGTGGCGCTTTTTTGCTCTACTACATGAATCGAAAGTTACGCGGTCGATGGTGACGACGAATTCCTCAATAGGGCGGAGTGCTAGTCTAGCGCTAAAGTAGTTGGTCCCTAAACTTTCCAATTTTATGAAAGCGTATTTACTTCCTTTTCCTTAAACCTTAAACTATTTCTGTGAGTCTCTAATACAGGGGAACGTTTCTGTTTAGCTTTTCATGTCCTGTGTGGTTCAAAATTGTCATCAGAAATCAGGAAGAAATATTAATTTTAAAGTGCACCACTATTTCAATACTATATCCAAAATTCAAGCCAACTACATGCAGTTGCAAAAGACCAAGGCTCTTGTTTCCTTTTTAACAGTAGAAAGACAATGTTTTGATTACCGAACAAAATATTTAAAATTCCTTTGACAACAAAATAAGTGGGGCCCACGGGCCAAACTGATTTGATTCACGGAAAACCAAGCTGCCTCGCGCCCAGTAACCAGACAGTCTTCTCCGCGTCCGAAAATCTAATTATATTGAAATAGTTATAAACTTAATAACCATTTTTTTCTCTACCATTCTTGTGCTTTACGGTTGGTGAATCACATATTCTGAATTAAATTTGCAAAGAAAAAAAAGAAAATTTATCACAACCTAAAAACCAAAATGAAAAGTAAAGAAAATTTCATTTAACTTTCACATGGTTAAAATCATAAATATAAAAAACAAGACAACTAAATTTAGGTGAATAAACACAGGTAAACTACCGGAACGTGAACTTTTTAAGCACAGCAACCAAAGCACGTGGCACCGCAGCTGTGGCTGATCCAACAGGCGAGCGTATCCCTTCTTACAAAAATTAATAAATTCTAAAGATATTCACCACGATTTGTGGTAATTATATCATAAATTCGATATATGACTTTACTAATGTAATTGTAATTAAAATATGTTAATGAGGATTAAACACAGTTTTGACATTTAAAAACGGGAGGGATGTTATTTACCGGAAAAGGCCATAAGGCCCTGTATATGTATATGGTAGAGCTTCAAGGCTAACGAGCTTGATGATTTTGAAATGACGTCCAAGGGCGAAGGAGGCAAAGAGTAATGGATTAAAAATAGTATACCTTATGATACAGCTATAGCCGGTTAGATAGCCGAGATCGTTAGGACAGTATTTCCATAGCGGTCTCAGACCAGAAAGCCACGGGTTCGACTCTCGCCTTGGGCATGGCTATATTAGTGCATGTCTATATGTGAGTACCGTCCTTTCATCCCTCACCATCATCATCTCAGCGTCCATACCCCCAGGGCTAACAATCTTGGGGGATAAAAATCGGGATTCAGCTGATCTCCCACCCCCAGGAACATACTTGCACCTGCTGAAGCAGGATGCACACGTGGTACAAGTTGGCCAATACGCGAAAAAAGAGAAACATCTATAAATGTTGAAGGCTAGGAAAAGATAGTGGTACTGACAAGAACTACAATAATAATACAACATGAAATACCGCAAATGTCGAAATGACTCCCTTGTTTATTGTAATACTATGATGCTCTCTTTATCATATCCAAAAACTGAGGAGCTTCCGTAACAGTTTTCACATGGCGCTCGGAGGTCTGAGTATGGCAAGGGAACTTAACTGAATTTTGAATGTGGTGTAATCTTCAGCGACGATTCTTCTGAATTCATCGTCTGGTATTTGGCTCGAAATGAGTGATTCTGTAATGGTATTATTCCACTGTATTAACTCTGTGTGATTTGCAGCTTCAAAATTTAATTCCGGTACTTGAAATGGCCGGTTTCCATAGTTTTGTTTTCTTCTGAATTCAAAGATTGTATTCATCGCATCAATTCTAACATCCAACTGTTCATCAAACTTCATTTACCGAAGAATATTTTCAGAATTGGATAAATAAACAATGCTGTGAATATCAGGATCAATGACTGATTTTATTTCTTGACCTAAGCCTCTCGAAAGTTGTATGGTTTTCCACAAATGCTCGGGGTCATTGTAACACTGGATTTTTCTTGACCATGAACGATGACGGCACGTAAACATTCATTATCAGGTCAACAAGTCTTTCAAGATTTGTGTTGTTTAAAAGTCTTGTTTAAAAGTGTTGTTTAAAAGTCTAGTAATAAAACCCGTTTGACGTCTCCAAAAATATGTTCAGCCGGTCCCGATGGCCGAGATCGTTAAGACAATAGTACCCACAATAGCGACCACAATAGCGACCTCGGACCGAAGAATTGCGGGTTCGACACTCGCCCCGGACATGTATTTGTATTCGTACTTCCCCCTTTTCATCACCTTATCATGTATCTTCACAGTTACCACCCCGTTAAATGCAATAGGCTAATAACCCAGATGTAGATGCGACCTTAAGTAACAAAAAAAATTCAATGCAGTGTAACAGTGAATAAAGCAATCAGATACCGCAGTGCGGCTCAAATGTGGGTCTTTTTCAGTGATGGTGGGCAGATTTTAGAAGATGCAATGAAGTGGTTAAATTGTTCCAAGCAAGTTTCGTGATGTACAGATTTCAAGTTTTAGGGTCGTATTCATAAACGTGGCTTACATCGAAGCTTACGTGTTTACTTTAAGAACTGAAGTTGACTGTAAAAGAAATCGCATTCATAGACAAAACTTTCACAATGTAAGCTCTGGTAAAAGTAGCCTTAAAATAGTTACAATTGAAACTATGTATTTCACAGTTGGCAGAATTGTGTGTGCCAACATTTCATTTTTTTCGCATTCTCACTTGTTTTGTGAGCAGAAAGTTACCAGAATTACGTGTATTTCGAGAGTGCAAAAGTTTCTAATATTGACTGCAGTGTAATTATTTATTATAACTTTATAAATCCATTTGATTTAAATATGACCATGTTTTTACTTATTTAA